GCTGTTTCCGTTTCTTGAATTCTTTCATCAGTTTCTGAGCCACTTAGCACCCTCCTGCATACACTGATGGCACTTTCATTTTCATCAATAGTGATCAGCTTTATCGCTACCCTCAGAATCAGATGATTCACGTGGAATATAATCCGATTCATCTTCAGATGATTGTGCCCAATTTTCTGCATTTGATTCTATGTCGGAACACTCTTTACTTATGTTTGTTAGCTTTTGCAATAATTCACTTCTCTTCGTCATTTTATTTATAAGTTCTAAAAAATCAACTGAACAACGCGTTATACTGAAAGTGACTACGTGAAAAAGACCGGTCTAATGTCAATACTTACCAAAATTCGGTTATTTTTATGTAACAAATGCATCATTGATCATTCGAGATGAATGCACGCGAGATAACAATTTGCAATACAGTAACAAAGCCGTTTGTTTATGTAAAATTTCTATAGCAGTCAAAATGACTGTTTACCGTCCATGCTGGCATAACATGTAAGAATATTGAAAATAAAAGTGAGATAAGGCAAATAATACGATTTATCTACGCATTTATATGTTGTATAAAAAGTCACAAAATTTCACGAAGCTGCGACTTCAAATACATAGTGATTTTATGTTTGAAAATGCAAACAGACAAAATGACTGCGTCCGTCTTTCTAGTGTTAAAAAAAAAGACTGCAAAACATTTTTTTTATTATTAGAAAAAATCTAATTGAACAATCCGTCTACATTCAAATATTGTTGTTAAAAATTTCTAACTTTACTTGTTTTTGAGATATTGGCAGTGGATCTTTTTACCCACGAACTTTTAAGCTCCGCTCTCCCCTAATGTTTTTTTTCGACTATATGTTCATTTTTCGCCAGAAGCGAAATTATAAAATATTTTTCAACCGAAAAACAATATGATTGTCATTCGAAAGCGACAATAAGTACAAGTCTTAAGGTCCACGACGTGAAAAGCGCGGCTCGCGCTTGAAAATATTTAATATCTTTCGATGTAACAAATCCTCCAACAAATTGTAAAAAGAATTTGGTTGCAGAGAAAAAAAGAAAATATATGTTTTTTTTTGGATCGATTCAATTCGGGTAAAGGCCGAGTAAAACCTTTGTAAATATTTAGGGTTGTTATTGTTAAGAAAATTGCAAAAACAAAAAAAATTTTTTTAATCATTACAAAGTTCACTTCAATATGAGTGCAATAAAAAAAAATAATACTGATCGGATCAGCACATTCGGAGATATATAATTTACCGCAGATGATGTTCATAGAAATTGAGCAAAAAATCCATATTTCAATTGTAAATATTTACGTAAAAAAATTTTTTTCAGCAAAATCCTGAAATACGTGTCAAATGATTTTATGAATAGTATCTGTAAACAAATTTTCAGACAATTCTAAAATGTCAAGGTTAATTAGTGTCCGGTTTGTAAAAGAATGACCATATAACAATCTACAAATAGAACCAATAGATCTTAACCATAATTCTACGAATATTATTTTCAGTAACTTTATTAATATAAGTAGTATTTAATAATAATGAAACATTTTTAACCCTTTGCACTCGCAAATTCTGAGATTTATATGAATTTTTCCGCCGGAGCAGCGGCATCCGAGTGGAGAGAGTTAAAGCGTAAGGATGACATCAAATAATAATGTTTAATGTACCTGATTCACATATATAAAAAATCATACTTAATAGCATCAAGTACTAACAGATAATACATTATTTTTAGCATCTTTGATGGGTATCTCCCATATGATAACTTCTGGTGGTCTGCAACAAGACAATGCAGTTGCTGTTGGCGAACAAACTGGTTCGACAGGCAATGCTTGGGAAGCACGGTTGCACAAATACCAGCAGATGGTTTGTAATCTCCAACTCGGTACAAAAAAATATATTTCATATATTTTTTTTAAGTTTTTTCTTCAATCTATCCATATTTATTGTTTAAACACAGTCCATGATGATCCATCATTATTAATATAAAATTATTTTAGTAAGAAAAAATTATAAAGATATTAAAAATTTTATGTCTGTAAAATTTAGGAACAAAAGCTTTATCTAATGGAGTAAATTCAGGCCTTGATTTTGGCCAAGGCTGGTTGAACTTCGTTAAAGTTGCATCCTCTGGTCTCGATATGCAAGGAGGTAAAACGGCTGAAGAAAATTTCAGTGTTGGCAGTACGGATAACAATCCTTCGCCAAACATACACGAACAAACTAACAGAAATGGTGTACAGGCACCGGCTGGTCAAGATGGTGCATATGACAAGAATGGTGCTTATAACCGCAATGGACAAACTAATCAAAATGCCGATCATTCACAAGTTGGACAAGATGGTGCTTATGATCAGAACGGTCCATACATTCCGAATGGCCATAATGGGCAAACCAGTCATCAATATACAGGTGATACTTTATGACACAATATAATAATTATGATAATCAAAATGACAACAAAGAATTGGCATAACAGAAAACGTTTTCTGTTATACCAATTCACAGTGTACACTGTGATACGCTAATAAAAATACACTAGAGCACTACATTAAAGTTACTATCAACTTTGTACAATAGAGCAGCTTTACGGTTGAATAAATTATGTAGATCTAAAATCAACAAATAGCCCGACAAATATTGAAAATTTTTGTTTAATTTGTGTTTAACAATATTTTGTTTTTTTTAGATCATTCTGTTAAAGATAGTTACAAGGCTTACCACAATTAAACATAAATTTGTCCATTGTTTGTTTTAAATAATGCTATTAATTAATACCACACTAGTTTACTTCACTAATTTTTCTGAATCGAATGATTTGAAATTTTTAGCGCCAATGGTATATATTTGTTTTTTTTTAACTTATTTTTTTGAAATCAAGTTGTATTCTATCATAAATCTTCACAGATAATAATAACAATGATGCAACGTCAAATAGTCATCACAGTTCACCCGAAACTCATACTACTCAAAGTGGTGTACCAGATATGGGAGGTATGACAAACTCGGTTCCAGGAATGGATGCACTTGGTGGTGATGTACCAGATATGGGAGGTATGGCAAGCTCGGTTCCAGGAATGGATGCACTTGGTGGTGGTATACCAGATATGGGAGGTATGGCAAGCTCGATTCCAGGAATGGATGCTCTTGGTGGTGGTATACCAGATACGGGAGGTATGGCAAGCTCGATTCCGGGAATGGATGCTCTTGGTGGTGGTTTACCAGATATGGGAGGTATGGCTAGTGCAATACCAGGCGCAGACCTCTTAGGTGGATTTGGAGGTATTGCTAATGCAATTCCAGGTATGGGAGGAGGTGCAGGCGGTAAATCAAATGGTGGAGGAGGAGCTGGTGCAAACGGAGGTGCAGGAGGATATGGAGGTGCGGGTGCTGGTGGAGGTGGCGGCGCAGGTGCTGGCATTGGCGGAGGGGCGTTTGGTGGGGGATTGCCAGGTCTTGGAAGTTTTGGATTGCCGTTTTAAATTAATATGCATAGAATCAATTTAGCTAATAATGATAAGACTAATTTGTTTTATATTTCGTTATATAATATATCAATACAAGGATGTTAGGCATTATTAAATGATTACTTATCATAAAATAAGTAAAACAGTTTTATCAACAAATTTCTTACAAAAATAGTATCATCCTTATCACTGTCCATAGGATTTGACATTTTGTAAACGATATATAGAATGAGTTTCTCAAAGATTGTAAAAAAATAGTAGATGTGTCAATATAGCCAACCAGGTTATAAAGAATGCTCAAATAATTATTCATGCTGTGATTTGTTTATTCACATGTGGCAACTGGATCAATATATACTTTCACAACATACTAAAAATGTTTGATAAATACAAAAATTCTTGAAATTAAAAAAAATGCATGTATATTTAAGGTTTCTGATAACCAACTGTTCAATTAAATTTAAATTTAAATATTTTATTCAAACATATGTATGTATATAAAATTGACACGCGCAGACGTGACTGTGGGGCTTCTTAGTTGTTAATTATTTCGACTGTTATATATTTTTTAGATTTAATTTACTTTCAAAATGCGTTTTTTTTTTGAAGTCTTCAATTCTTAAGTTTAAAGGTAATTATAATTTTAATTACTTACAATACACATACACATATAATTGCAACACAATAATTTGTACAATATAATAACGAGCATTTTAAAGTTACTTAGGTTTTTTAACTTAGTTTACACGATTTATTATACATGGGGCATTATCTAAGTAATGCCCAGATTTTAATAAGTTACCTACTCTCCACTTTCCATTTTTTTAACTATTTGTAACAAAATCTGCCAATGAGTAATATGTTTGCTTTCAAAAACAAGTGATCTAGAGTAGGGTTATTACAAAATGATACCAATTAAATTAACCGAAACGATTATAATATTAAAGATTGAAGATTATTCGGTGAAATAAACTGAGAGATTGTAAAAATAATTAATATATTTCAAATAAAAATGAATCAAATATAATAGATTCAAGTTGAAAAAAATAAGAATAAACTAATGTACAAAATACAAGCTGTGTTCAAACAATTAAATTCGAGAAGGTGCAACATTTAACAAAACCAACAAGTCGGACAAATCAGATATTACAAAAAACACCTCAAATATCTTTTATTTGAGCAATATTTAAATATTTGAATAAAATCTCTATAAAAGTCTTCACATATAAATTTCACCAAAATTATCTGTATAACGTTGACGTAAACATGTACAGAATATTTTTATTTCTGTTTGCTTGGACTCAAATCGTTACAGGCCAAGTTAATGTAAGTGATTTGTTAAATGAAAATTAAGGTATTATTATAAATCAAAGTTTGTCGATACAGATTTATTTTACTTCATCGAGGAGTTGAATCTATAAATCTCTAATGTAATTTTATATCATGCCAATGCCGCCAATATCACGCTACACCATAAGAATTTAGAAATTATGACAAAATATAAATATAATTCTTTATAATTATTAATAGTTACTGCTAGTTAGCAATAACTAGCAGTAAATATGTAATTTTTCGAATACAAAAGGTCTAAATTTTAGGAATATAATGATCTGCAACCAGTGGGCACCGCCTTAGGTAAACATGTTCCAAGTGCCAGCAAAGGGGCGACAGACTTAATAGGTGATGGTACAAAAGCAGGCACCTTAGGCCTAGGTAATATAATATAATAACTAGGTATAAGTGGCATTTTACTTTAATCTTTTAACTTTCTGTATACAATGTACAAATCCATAACTTGAGATAGGTCTTTGGTGAAAACGATTACAAAGGAACCATTTTTTGCTAATTATAATGAATCAGCTTGGCCGATCGTTTCGCAAACCTAATCGCAGCTTCTTCTTTTCGAGTTTAATTGAACGGCTTTTGAATTTTTGTATTTCGAATTTGAATTTTATAATCGATTCAGGATTGCGAGCTGAAAGTTGGACCAAACTCTTTTCACTTTTTTGCTAATTACAAAGAAACGGAAATTTTCAAAATTGGTGCGCAGTTTTCCAGAGAACGTGAACGAAACATCGAAAAGTCGGCTCACATACACACATACACATACTATTTGCAACTTTAGTCTCATTATATATAGAACGTCGAGGAAACAAAGAATAAGCAAATATAATTTTTTTGGCAATAACAATCTTCACCTTCGGAATGTTAAAAATATATTACAATAAAAAATAATTGTTCTACTAGTTACGTCAATTAAAATCAGTAAACTAGTGGGGCGCATGGCATCGTGCCTTAAGGCCAATAACAGGAACTTCCCGTACCAAAAAATTTTTTTTTAAAAGATTAACATTTTTGAAAAAAATTTACTCCAAAAAATTACATTTTGAGAAACTATAAATTTTTGACAAAAATTTACTTTTTTTTGAAAATAAGACTTTCTGAAGAAAAGTGTATTTTGAACTATTTTGAAAATTCTGAACGTTTTTTCAAAGCAATCATACTGCTTTGACTGCATAGAGACGAAATATCGAAGTTCGCAAGCGCCGCGCCGCCGTCTGACGGGTAAGCGGAACCCATAGGTATGTAAACAAAATTTATACTTATTGTTCAAATCTTTATAAAATATCTGATGATTTGATGTGCATATGTCTAATGACATTTTTGAATGCCAGATGGCATTTTTTTACTTTTTTTACTAGATCTCCGAAACCGCTATACCTGCATTCATGAATATTTGATCACTTCTGATTAATTTTGACAACTTTTTTGAATTATTCAAATTGGACGCTTCGTTCTCTCAAAAACTGAGTTACCGTGTTTGGCACTTTACCGAATCGAATGTTTTTTGAATTATTAAAATCGCTTCATCCGTGTTCTCGAAATTGTCGACTAAAATTTGCATCCGACACATACACACATACACACACGCACACACACATACATCCATTTTTTCTAAGGTATGCCAAAATATTCAGAAATCTCTGAAACGTGAAGATATATAAAAATTTTCATTTTAGATTTTTTTGCGATTACTATAACTTACCCTACGGGAAGTTAATAAAACCAATTTAATAAGGGACTAGAAACTGATATAGACGTATTATATTAGTACTCGTTATATTACAATAATATATGCCTTAAGACAATAATCATAAACATCGACAAAAGGATCAGATTTGAAAAAATAAAAAATGAAAAAAAAATGTGCATGAAATCTTCAATAACCTTAATATAATTGAAATCATATGTTTGAATTAGAAGACTATTGTGTATTATATTTAACTTTTATGTTAGAATATCATTTGCTTTAAGAAGGAGTAAACAGTTAATCCTGAAAATTTTCGAATCAAGTGATAATGTAAAAATTAAAGTAAGTTTAATAAAGTTTTCGTAAACTATCAAAAACATTTATAAATGATAATTATAATGATAACTAGTGGGACGCATGGCATCGTGCCTCAAGCAAATTTCTTTTTTATAAAGATTCACATTTTTGAAAAAAAAAAATTACTCTGAAAAAATTATATTTTTGAGAAACTATAAATTTTTGACAAAATTTTACTTTTTTTTCAAAAAAAGACTTATTGAAGCAAAAATTTATTTTGAAACATCTTGGAAATTCTGAACTTTTTTTCGAGGCAATCGTACTGCTTTACCGAAATATCGAAGCGCGTAAGCGCCGCATCGCCGTCTAGCTGATAAACGTTGGTACGGAACCCATAAGAATGTAAAAAAAATACCTGTTGTTAAAATCACGAACATACACGCACGCACACACACACGTACATCCATTTTGTCTAAAGTATGCCTATAATTTTTTTTTTGCGATTACTACAACTTGCCCTACGAAAAGTTAATTAACTTATATGATTTTTATATCAACAATAATGGGCATCAGCAAAACGATGACTTCTGGAGCTATGCAAAAAGAAGATTCTGTATCTATCGGCGAAAAGACTGGTGCAACTGGTAATGCTTGGGGAAGTACTATGGCCCAAATGCCAGCTCATGGTAAGTAAACTACCAATTATAAAAAAATTTAATCAATTGTTCCGCCGTTCAATTACATTTTTTTTGCAATAGCAATCATAGGAGGATGCCATAAGTATTTTTGTTCAAATAAATCCAATTAAATAATAACAAAAGATTATTATTTTACAGGAGCACAAGCTTTATCTGGTTTGGTAAATACGGGCTTGGATTTTGGTCAAGGTTGGCTAAATTTCGGAAAACAATCAGCATCTGGTCTAGATTTTCAAGGCGGTAAAACAGCTGGAGAGCAATTTAGTACTGATGATTCAAACAACAATTTTACAGAAGATTATTTAACAGATCAAGGTAAAGATACTACTGAACTACCTGGCAACTATACTATGAGTGGTTCAAATGGTACCTTTGGTGATGATTATATTAATGGTGCAAATGATACAATTAGTGATAAAAGATGAGATCGTTTATAAATTTCTAAGTATCGGTAGTAGTAAAAAGTTTAGTTGAATTTGATAATAGCATTTGAAATCATGGGAGAATCTATTTAACAAAAAAGATCTATCATGACACACAATAATGTAATTGATTATGTTTAAGTTTCTTATGTTATATGAATGAGACATCTACAAGTTATTAAAAAGTAGAGACTAATAAGTCTTATATATAAGACTATAGATAAGCTCAATAATTAGAACAAAAAGTATTATAAACGTTTAAATGCCTATAATATTAATTAGTATTGTAAACAATAAAATTAAATGGTGAATCAAATGTTGTAAATGTTTGAATGAGTGAATTGCTTTACATATTATTAATTAGGTGTAAAGTAAAGATAAACACGTCTTCATTAAAAATGAAAATAAACGATGTGATATAAACAAAATTTATTAACTATCATAAAAATTTTAACATTTGCGAGTTTGTGTACAAATTCTGAATGAATATACCTCAAACACATATTTAACACCGCATTTATGAGAAAAAGTTCATTTTTATAGAGCTCACTGGTTAATTGTTATTGT